AGTTAATGATGTCTCTTTCACCACAAATCGTCCACAGTCACCTCAAAACATCGCTGGTCCTAACGAAATTTTTAATAAAGTAAGTGCAGATAATGAGGATCTTATAGATAATTTCACTCAAAATGAATTTATTTCAAATGTCGAAGAAACGCAACCTAGACCTTCCAATGCTATAGAATAACATACTGAATCTATTAATCCTAGTAAGCAACAGATTAAACCTTCTATATCAAACGAACCACAGCCTGGATCTTCCAACAGTGAAGTGACGCATTTTGCGTTTTAAATCCACCATACCTTACGCTAACTCCAGAGCAGATTAGGCCGTACCCTACAGCTACAGCTCGAAAGATAGGAGAAAAGAAACGCAAAGTCAAAACTACAATTATAAGTGAAACCCCAGAAAAAGATAATTACTAATAATAATAAAATGTGATAGATATATTAAAGAAAGAAACACTCCGAGACAATAAAGAAAGTTTAACGCAAGTAAGGCGAATTATCAAAGACAATTTAGCAGTAAAGGAATCGAGCAACATCAAAATTAACAATCAAAAAGTAAATTATTAATTTCTAATTTTCTTGAAAAATGTAGTCTTGCAGCATACGTACACGTACCTATTGATTAATAATCAGTACGTGTATCGCAAAGTACAAGCTGATTTTCTTTGTTATTGGGTATTGTCCCTTTCATAAACCGTCATGTCCCTTTCGATACACTCTATTAAAGAAAGGGACAAAACACATTTTTTGAAAAAATATACAACTAAGAATAAAGACTGTTTTGTTGTTTTGTCCTATTTCGATACTGACATAACTCAGTTTCCTAATTATATATTTCATTTATTTACTAGGATCCTCGAAACAAAAATGTCCCTTTCATGCCACCTCTCCCCTGTATCAATTTATAGCTATTGAAAATCTGCCCCTCTTCTAGGAAAAATCTTCCGCTACGCCCATCTGAGTAACCAGAAATAATATTCAACGTACCACAGTAAGAAAGTAATAAGTTTGGTTCTTAGTAAGCCTATGTAATATCCTGTATATCCAAAAATATTATTAGTTTTAATACATGAACACTGTATGTTACCAAATGTTGTTAAAGGTACTTAAATATTTTTAGAAATCCTAACCATTTCCATCTATTTTACGAATAAATTATTTTAATAAAAATATTAATTTCTAGAAGAATTTAAAAAGGATCACTTGAAAAAAAGAATAAATATTTCATAATATTATCATTAAATTATTGTCTACTCTTTTCGGAATCTGATTATCAGTAAATTCTCAAAGCACAAAGAACCCAAAGACAACTGTTTCAGTATGGATAATGAATTATTATAGTAATTTGGTTCCATATATGATCATTTATTAAACTTCTACCTTCTACCTCTAATTGTAGCTTATGAATTCTGATAAGACTACCCAATAAAATACAATGCCGCACGATATTGCCTTTTTTCCAATTCCAGTAAAACCATAAAAATATATGAGGCAATAAAATGAACATGAAAATTCAATTTTATTCAGGTGATTGTTATAAGTAAGTATTAAAATGGTACAATAAGATCGTTATTGCATTTGTAAATAATGTATGAAATGGTTGCTGCAATGCTTATTAGTAAATTCTCGTGCAGCTATTTAGTAATTAAACGAATATTTTTCTTAAGAATTTAATAGTATTTCTACTGGTCATTTAATGAAAGAAATTTAAAAACATGTAATATCCGTCCAAGTGCAAATTCATGCAATATGTAATATGTTGCGTACTCCTCAATAAAAAAATTTTGAATGAAATTGCGATAAGTCTTAAATGTTCATTTTATTATTGCACACTTTCCTTTTATAAAGGTGTACTAAGTAAAGAACAGATCTATATATATGACTTCATAATTATCTACTAACATGTATTTCTTTTTATTTTCCATGTATGCATATTTTTGAATTCAATTTTATGAAATTTCGAAATCTTATCCCGTAACTCTTAGAAGGTTTAGTTGCGTCATCTGTACGTCAATAGCAATAACAATTGTTAGTTGTTCCTGTTACTAAAATGAATTCATTTTCTATAAATACACTTTTGCTATTGCCTGATAGGTGCCGACACCGTTATTTTAAAGCTGCCTCTATGTGCTACCACGTGTACTTACGTCACATCCCCTGCGTATTTTACTATTTAGAAAAACGTAAAAAATCCCCACCCAACCGCTATTTTTCCCACTGCGATTTTCATTCGCAAAAAGCTTGTTTTACCAAGTTACACCTTAAAAGAAGTAAAAAAAATCTAAAAATTAAATTTATTTAATTCGAACTAGTTAAAAACTTTTACCACATTTCATTTAATATTTGTTCATTCTAGTCTTCGGCTAAACTCGGATATTACATGTCAACCGAAACGATCTGAAGGACTTCTTAGTCAAAAGAATCACTTTCAATTTCTCTGGAACTTATATTTTTTAAAATTTGTTTGTTCATCTGATAAAATATTATTGTCAATAAAATTTAAATTCGTTAGAAGTTCATATTTAAAATAATTGAACCTTTAACTGTTTGAGAGAAAATTTGATCGGTGAACTATGAATGAACTACTCTCCGTAAAATGTGCGTAAAAGGTTCCCGCGCACTGCATGTTGGTAGTAAAATTTATATGGTTCCATGGCAGAGCCGCCATGATGGCTATCTGTAATACACGCTCAACATGGAAAGTTCCGAAGTTGTTTTACAGTATTTGTGACTGAGTGCGTGTAAACAAAAACAATGGGAACGTACTAAATATTACGAAGAATTGTTTAGTGTCCGTCTCGGACGGTCCGAGGCACAGGAAAGTCCATTTTAAGGAGCATTTTATGTTGGCCTTGTCGTGTGTTTTGTGCTGTCAACAAAAATGTCTAAGCTTTCATTTAGGGCGAGGGCCCTGGATGCTAGCAAACCTATGCCCATTTTTATGGCTGAGGAACTCCCGGATCTTCCTGATTATTCAGCGATTAACCGGGCTGTTCCTCAAATGCCGTCTGGGATGGAAAAAGAGGAAGAATGTGTAAGTTTCAAGGAGAATTTGACATGAGGTAGTTGTTTAGAAATCATAAGTCGGCCATGTTGATATCAATTCGCGCTGTAATGCGCACCCGGCAAAAGAACTTTAAAAATATTTTTTAGTTGTTTGAACAATAAAATTAACTAAATCTAATGAATTTCATGCATAAAAATTAAGTATAGGGCCAAATATTAGCATGCCATAGGCTGTCATTTGATTTTTCAGTATTGTTTATAACAATTTTTACAAAATTTTGTTTACATTGTATATATGCTCAGTAAACAATAGAAATGACTGATATGACTTACCTTACAATTGAAATAATTGTAAAAGTAATGTATATGGAATATTAGGAGCACCACCTGCAACGGGCAATAGTTACTGGGCTCATTATTCCAACACCAGAAGTGACAGACATTACGGACAAAGAGGCCTATGAAAAGCTCTACCCTGCCAACTACAAGCAGCCTCGACAACTTATACATATGCAACGTGAGCATTCTTTAAAACTAAATTTTGTTTACTCTAATTGTTACCATATATTCTGTTAAAGTAGCTGTTATATTGCCATGGTTTTGAATATTTTTCCGTTGCACTTTTCTATAGTCAGTATAAATATGCATAGACTCTTCTTGATCTTAATTGTTATGTTAAGTTAAGCATGGTGATATGTATTTATGTATACATATAACCTAAAAGTTTATTTCCATAATATATAACTGTATTTACACATTTCTATAAGTTATAGCATTTTTTTTCCACATACTGTATTAGTCAACTTAATTATTGCAAATTGTACTGCCCCTAGATGAATTAGAAAAATTTTGCATCTGTAATTTTTTCTGTTTACAATACTATTATGAATATATAATGTACTTTCACAATTCATTTAAAACCACCTTATTCACAATCAAGTGTTAATTTACTATTCTTTTGAAGCATTTGCCAAGGAACAGGATATCATTCACTATAAAACCCTAACTATTTCATAAAATGTAAATTCACTATTCATTTAAAACCACCTTACCCACAAGTATGTGTTAATTTAGTATTCTTTTGAAGCATTTGCCATGGAACAGGACATCATTGACTATGACATGGATTCAGAGGATGAACGCTGGCTTATGTCACAAACACAAAAACTTGAACTTAGTCCCCTAAAATTTGAAGAAATGATGGACAAACTTGAAAAAAGCAGTGGACAAACGGTTGTTACTTTAAATGAAGCCAAGGCATTATTAAAAGAGGACGACGATCTCATCATTGCCGTATATGATTACTGGCTAAATAAACGTCTTAAAACGGTATGAAAAATTATTACCATTTGAGTTTCACAGTAAATAATATCTACTTCATTTTCGAAAGTATTGAATATATTCATGTATCTATTTTTAGCAACACACATTAATTCCTCAAGTAAAAACAGAACACAGAGCTGGTATAGCCCTTAACAACCCTTATCTCGCGTTTAGAAGAAGAACAGAGAAAATGCAGACTAGAAAAAATCGTAAAAATGATGAATCGTCTTACGAAAAAATGCTTAAATTGCGACGAGATTTATGCAGAGCTGTCACTCTCTTGGAACTAGTGAAGAGGCGTGAAAAAATTAAAAGGGAATATGTTCATCTTACAATTGAAGTTTTCGAAAAGCGCTATCAAGCACGTGACTTTAGTGGTGCAGTTCTTGCAGAATTATCATCTATCAAAACGTCAAGGCCTGCCTTCACGCCCATTTTCCACAATCACTATTCTAATCAAAATTGGACCAATTCTAAGGCTGCATTGAAAGATGAGGTATCTCATTTTTTCTACTCTTTATTGAATTCTTAATGGATACTTAAAACAATAATAAAAATGTCGGCATTTACTTCTATATATCTTTTATAATTATTGCAGGATATTCCAAGAAAAGAAAAAAGACAGTACAAAAAACGGAAACACAAATTGTCAAACCATCATCGGGTTGGTGTTAATTCTAGTGGTTTGGAGGGTATTGGTGGTATCTCTTCTGACGAGGAAACTGCACATCCTGCTAACTCTGAGCCAGAAGATGTTGAAGACGAAGGACAATTTGTTTTTAGAAGAAACAAATTGTGTAGTTATCACATGGTGAGTTATTTTAAGTATTATTTTATTACTGTTGTGCTACATTATTATTTTTCAATATTCGTTTATCTCATTCTGTGCTAACTTAAAATGTGCAGTGTTTATCAGAAAAAAAAAGCAAAAGTGCAGTGCAGAAACCTAATACTTTTTTATAAGATGATATTATTGTAATTTTACAAACTTTAGCTTACGCTTATAATTTGTCAAATTGTTGGAATTCTTCTTTTTGACCTATTGTAATATTTAAGATTTATTCATGAGAAAGATGGTTTGTTATTTGAAAGGCATCTTCTTTATTACTTTTAAAGTAAAGCAACTAAATTTTTTGTATTATATCTCCATTAAATCTGTCTAACTGACACTTAATTTAAGATAGTTATTGCTGAGTCCTTAAGTTATGAATTAAAAGAAAATTATATTTATTTTACAGCCAAGGAAAGAGCTGGGTAACTGGCCTTGGTGTCCAAAAGAGGAAAACGGTCTCGCGGACAAACGGTATAGATACACGTTAACGTCGTTGTCAAATCGACGTTGCGTGGGTTTCGCGCGTCGACGACTGGGTCGTGGCGGCCGGGTGATATTAGACCGAACAAGGACAGACCTGGACGATTTCTGGAGAACGGTCGACTTTACGATACTGGAGCCAACAAGGACAATAGAAAACATTGGCACGGCAACGACCCTTGCTGGCGCGGCGAACTTTACAAAGTCGTATCCGACAAACTTTTTTGCAAGTAGTAATAGTAGTGTAGGTGATATGTCAAAGACGAACTTGAAAATCGAACCATTGAGTTTTTATTCAGACGGCAGCTTACGACAACTACAACAACAACAAAGGACATGTGTCGGAGCTGCAAGTGCTAGTGTTAGTAGTGATAGTATTGACAAACGTAGTGTTGTTAAAGAAGAACCCGTCGATCTCCCTGACGAATGGTCTGTACCTGCCGAAACTTGTAGCGACGTCCATGTGCCGATTGCGACTACGGCACAAACACAGGAGGAACAAGATGAAATGGTGGAGTTCCTTAAGGAAGTTCGAAGAGATTGGTAAATACATTTGATATGTACACATGTATACACTAAAAGACTTCTTAAAGCCCGCAGAAAGGTTGCAATGTTTTTACTGAAAGTAAATAGGAATGAGTTCATTTTTCAATTACTAACACTGGATAATAAACATTATCATTTTTAAATTTTTGGAGATCCTACAATTATTATTATTAGAAAATTCTTTACTTGCACAATAAATTCATTCTATTTGCATATTATGGTATAAAAAACATTCATGAGTAGAACTTTTTTGGTTTCTTTTATTTGAACAGGGTACATGTTAGTCAGTAATTTATCTAAACTACCAGACGTAAATAGCAGTTTAGATCTTATTAGATAGAATAAGATCGAAATCTCAGATCAAATATGATTTAAATCTTAAATCGAATATGATCTAAATCTTATTAAATCTGATAAAATTGAAATCGTTATTCACGTCTGGTATAAGTTATGAACTAAAAACTGTTATCACTAATTTCGTTTATTTTATATGAACTGTATAAAGTATGTCGTCGATTCCGTTGGACAAGTAAATACCTTAGTAAAGCTTTGTTTAACAATTGAAGTTTGTCACTTAGCAGTAGATGACGACAATTGCCATAACTTGATATAGTTTATTTTTGATTAACGTTTCATTTATTCCTTTAGGTTGCATTTTCGGCCGAAAACGCCTCCACCAGATTACGAACCACCCTGTCATCTGCTGCCCACCGATGATGAAACCTTTATACCTGGTGCGAATACGCCGTTTACGTTGGAATTGCAGCCGTTGGACGCCCCTTCTAGCGTACTTTCCGATACGTCAGCGTTCGTCACGACGCCGTTTACACTTGACGATCTGTACGCCGTGAACGCAGCGGTAGTGCCGATTACTGATACACGGCAATTCCAGTCGACGCCTCCTCCTCAACCATCATCAAATGATGTTGATTACGTGAACGAAACAGCAAGTGTCGCGCAAACGGGAATCAACTTGAATGTCAACGTTGGTCTCAGTACGCTTAGTGACGCTTCATCATCATCGTCGTCAAGTTCTTCACCGTTCGAGGAAACGAGGACGATCGGTTCTTCGAGGTTCGTTGTGACAAATGCAACCGCATCGAACGAATGTGAGGAGGCGCAGCGGACGTCACGTCATCGTCACTATAATAATAGTAACAATCAACAACAAGGGATGCAACAGCGTCAACAACAGGAACTCCGTCTACAATCGCCACAACAGCATTCGTTTCTTTTGAGTACCTTAACTAGTCCTAAAGCGAATAACGTACATTCGCCATTTGACGAACGACTGCGGCACGCATCCGATAATGTTTCGGCGACGGCCACAACAACGAGCGGGAGCACTAACGGACTCCTGGCTCAGTTCAGTTTGAACGGTAAGTTTTTTATTAATAGTTTTTTGTTTTGACGAAGTGTAACTTATAAGAACATTTAATTCATATATACGCATTACGAAATCGGTTTTGCTTATATTGACTGAAGATTTGAGCTGTGACTTAAAGCTCACCGAATTATCGTAAAATGAAATGAAAAAAGTGGTGCTCGGACAGGAATATTCCAGATTAGTAGCAAAATATATGTTAAAGCATAACTACTGATAATATCTGTTATGAGATGGAAATTACATAAAAATAAATGTGCGGATATAAAAAAAATACTAATGTACATTTCATCTAGATTTTATTGTATTTAACAATTGTTTCGCCACACTGTGATTTCTTCAGAAATATAGGTACAACAATTTATTAGACTATTACATTTTAATTTGCTGTTAAATACTACCTTAAGGGCTAGGAATAGAGACAAAAAAGATGTTTAATAATGGGTAATTACTAAGTGTAATTGTTCGTTAATTAACAAATTTCTGTTTTTAAATTAATTACCACTTCAAAAATAATGTACGTGTTATTTTCAAAATGTAAAACTAAGATCTTTATTAAATTCATGATTATTATTAGTTAAATTATTTTCATAATTCAAATCTGTTGTTTGATTACATTGTGCAAACCATTTAATTAATCACAAATATAATAAAAATTTTGAAGTTTAACATTTTGATAACACAAATTATCACTATTAGAAATCGTACAAATTAATGAATTTAAATACGCCAATTTGTTAAATAACGACCACTTAGACTTTTAGGTAATGTACCATTATTAAATACCTTTTACCCCTGCGAATTGGAATATAGTCAACTCGAATATTGTTCGATTCCTCCGAAGAAATTACAGTGATGAAGTAATTGTCAAATGCTATAAAATCTAGATGAAATTTACATTAGTATCATTTCTATTAAGTCATGGAAACTAACGTATGCATTTTTTATTAATATTACTGGTTTGCTTTTTGTTTGAAAATTATAATTATAAATGTCAATACGAGTTTCTTAAAAAGAATTAGTCCATTACACTAAAAAATTCCGAACCCTTATAATCATACTGTATGGTGAAATTTCCCTTCAGTGGACACTCGTGGGATGGGATTAACAATAATTGTCCGCTTAGGACAAAAAAGAAACATTATTTAACCTAAATATGTTTACTAAAGATATGTACTATCTGTGTATGCTACCTGTGACTGGTATAACTTTACTTCTTGCTGCAGTGAACCATTCGTTACATAATCTATCAATATTTCTTCCCTCGATTACTACATCACCTTCCCAACCCAATCCAACCTAACTTAATCACCATTCTAACGGTGCCTTTCGTTAGTGATGTTAATCTTTTTTGATAATTTACTGGCACTCAGCTTTTCTTTCTGATAAGTCGATTTTTTTTTTAAAGTTAAAACATTGCATGTAGGTACCATATTAATCCACAAATGCTTTGAAATTACCAAATTGTATGTATGTAACTTACAGTTTAACACACTATCAACCTGTTTATCTAATCACAGAATATTTAGTCTGCTATATTGGCTATTATACTGGGGAGTTGACTCCGGGAATGATTTCTTATTAATCAGTTTTCTGCATTTGAACCATCCGCGTCCGTTGAAGAGTTGAGTAGAGGTCTTGCTCTGTACTATTCCATTAAAAAAAGGTATCCGCTGACGAGCGGTGTCCGTTAAGGGAGATTTTACTGTATATGGTTTTAAATACATTTAACTTCTTTTAACAAAATTTAGACAACAACGTGATGAAAAAAGCATATACATTTACA